GGAGCCCAGCCGCGCGCCAGCCGCCGCCGAGGCCAACAAGACGCAGGAGCAGGCGGAACTGAAGCCGCGGAAAGGGCGGAAGGACAAAGGGAAGAGAAATAACGAGAACTCGGAGGTTATCACCCCGGGCCTCCCCCCTGCCCACGCCCAGGGTGAACCGTATGAGCACAATCGGGTGCACAAGCCCGACCGTGTGCATAACCCTGGGCATTCTCACGCTCACCCAGAGCACAGCGGGCACGACCCTGGTCACGGGCATCAGGACCGCGCGCCCGATGATGAAGGTGAGCTTCGGCACACGCGGAAGCGAGAAGCACCGCATGTCAAAAAAAGTGCAATGTATTCAGCTGCTAGTCACAAGGACCACGGTGAGGATGACCACCACCACGAGGTGAGTTCACGTTGTCGGACACCTCACGGTCACTGTAGTCTGCCTTAGCTCCTGCAGCGTTCTGAGTGAAGATGGAGATTGCTGGTGGAATAGTCAACTATAGTTTAACTTAATTCAGAGTTTACACAGGGACCGTCAGGTAACATTGCCGACAGAGGCATGGAGTAACCCAAATCTGTGTGACTTGTGTTCCTTTTATTCTCAGATCTGGGTTCCTCAATCCGTGTGTTTACACATAGGTACAAAACACATGACGGTGCACGCCTGTGATCCCAGCACATGGAAGGCAGAGGCAGGGAGGATCGCCATGAGTTTGGGGCCAGATGGGTATGCATAGCAAGACCCTGTCTCAAAAAACAGAAACCAAACCAGGCTAAACAGAACGTTCCTTATTTTAGCTCTTCATTTTACCATGTTCATATGAACTGACTAGTTCTCACTGCTACCATTAGCTGGTTTCTCGATACTTAAAAATGAACACTTTTTGTCATTCAGCCTGTCCTCTTGAGTTAGCAGAGTTTATTTTTCATAATGACTAAATTATCTGCTTAGCTGTTGAGCTGTCACATCATTGTTCTAGCGCCACAGCCAGCTGTTTGGTACCTGTGATGGGCTTCTCTGCTCTTTTACTCTGTGAAAAGTCCATGTAGCCAGGAGTGAGGTCTTTGCCCAGGCCTTTGACAGACTTGGGTGAACATGGACTTGTGTTAAGATGGAACTCCTGGGTGGTGAGGGGTCCTGTGCACCTTCCGAGTTTGCGTACTTCTGCACACTTTGCTTGTTTGATTGCTCCTACTCGATTTTTCAAACTACCTTAAGCACATTAATCTTTCTCTCATTAAAGGTGTATACCAACACACTTGTTCATTCTGATTTTGAACATTTTATTAGAGTTCAGGACAATGTGGAGTGTGTTTTGTTTGCGTGACTAGAGGAGCATCAACATCAAATGTGGAAAATAATCTTGCCTTTTGCTGTTTCTATCACTGTCACTGTCTAAGTAACAGTTTTTTATTTCTTCTCTGGGTAAGTTATCAACTGTTTTTTAGCAGATATGAACACTGATTTAAAAATACCTCAAATCTTAGTGTATTTCGGGTATGCATCTGTTACTCAGGTGCTGCCCCAGAGCCCTCTGTTACAGTACCGAGCTCCTGCTGTCCAGTTCACGTGTCAGGCCTGCGGGGGTCTGTGCCGTCAGACACACGACAGCGTCCCCGTGTGTCAGACAGCACTGGAAATGCTCTTCAAGCGCACTGGGTGGGGGGTTCGGCATGGTCATTAAGATCGGAGAAGAATCGTTTTGTGCCTTTGTAGGTTTTGATCTTATTTCTGCTGTTTAGTGGTTGTGTTTGCTTTAGTTTTGGGCCACAGACAAAATCAGTAGCCAGACACGTCAATAAACAAGCGTGCAGGCGCCATGAGTGTGTGGAGAGGGGCCAGGTCACCCCTTGCCTTCATAGTAGGTAATCCTCACCTCTGATGGTTGCACTTTTGCCCTTTGATTTGAAAGTACCAGGGGATGAAGCTGCCTTTTTGCGTCTTCCAGTTTGGTCTCCCTCAGTCACTTTTGGCTAGAGTTCTCCAGTACTGTATTCATCTTTTTTTTCTCAGTGGATTTTGTTGTCAGGCTGGACGTCGAACCCAGGATCTTCTGCATGCTAGGCAGGTGCTCAGGCTGTGAGTGCCTTCGCCAGTGAAAATGTCTGTGTTGCTGATTTGGAGTCATCAATGATTGCAGTTTGGTAGTGAAATTATTTTTCTCCTCATAGAATCTTAGTGCTATAGTTACGAATCATTATCTTTTGCACGTGGAAAATAATGATTAAAATCCATAAAATGTCTTGAGACTCTAGAGTCATGTAATTGAATGTATCCTATCATAAGTGCCTGTGTAAAGTTTCTGTGTTGGATACCTGTGTGTTACACATTATTTTCCAATAACAGGATAGTTTTATTATGCACGGATTCACGCATAACCTTCAGTCGTACTGGGTCTCCCTGCAGTGTTTGAATGGCACTCAGCTGCTGAAACACTTCGGGCACGGAGCCAACTCCCCCATCTCACCGACCCTGTTCACGTACCTGTGCCCCGCGCTGCTCTACCAGATCGACAGCAGGCTCTGCATCGAGCATTTTGACAGACTTTTAGTTGAAGATGTAAATAAGGAGAAGCACCTCATTCCTGAAGATAAGGCAAACATCGGGGCCTCGGGTAAGAAAGAAATTTGTTCCTTAAAGCACTGTGGTAACTGTACTTATCTTTTAAACTGTCATTCAGTTAGAAGGCAGCTCCAAGGTATTGGCTTTCGTTTGTGTTAAAACTTTTAATATGCCTTGAGCTGGTTTAGATACCCGCAAGGAAGACAGGAGACGCGCATCGCGTTCCTTGATGTCTTGTGGCTGCTGGAGTGTGGAGTGCTTTGTTGTGGATGGGGAGCTAGTTTAAGAGGGAAAGAAGTTTCAGAAACAGACCCTTGGTGCCCAAATGGAAAGAGTGGTGCCCCTCGTTGAAGTTATTTGCTGTGATGGGGATTTACTCTTTATCAGGGCTAGGGGCCTTGCGTGAAAAACAAAGATGATGAGACGCTTAAAGAAATGGAAAGGGAAACACGTGCAGTTGAACTGCAGAAGCGCCTGGAGAGCGCCAGTGAGGGCCTGCTCATGCGCTGTGAGCCCTGTGAGCGCTGGGGCTTCCCACACCCTGTTCCGGCTCGCTCCACAGGCTCCTCCTCGCAGTGTCCCCGCATTCCTCTGCGTAAGACCGCCTGCCTCTTCCCCAGCCTCACACGCGGTTCCTGCTCATTCTTTTTTTTTCTCTCTCATTGAGTTTATTGGTACATTTTAGGTACACAGTACAGTTACCTTCATCATTGCGGCTTGTACCTTTACATGACAGGGCTTGGTTCTCGTTTTTTCCCCATCCCTGCCCTCCCTTCACCTCCTCTTCTCCCCATTTAGGAACACTTTATTTCCATTTTTTCATTCATTCTTTTGATAGAATCTGGAGTCTTCTGCTTCTTTCTTCTTCGTTTCCTTTTTTCCTTCCTTGTATGATAGGCTCTGAAGTCCAGAGTCTTAAAATTCATTCAACTCCATCCACTCCTTCATAACTTCCGTTACTTATTTTTGAATTTTCAAAAATATTGGTAATAACTTCATTACCCTCCCTGCCTGTATTCCCCTTGCAAAACAACCGTAGCCCTTAAACAAGATTTATCTTTCTAAAACACGAATGTGGTTCTCTGGCATACACCTTGGTGACAGCTAATGCTTAGTGAGTGAGCTATTTTTATTTTATTTACTTGACAAGTACACCTTGCAGGCGCTGTGTTAAACTCACCCACGTCCCTGTCACACGTCTCGTGAGGCAGTGGTGGTGCTCTTCCTTGCAGCTCCCTGCTTCTCAGAGGCGCTGCCAGGAATCCAGTGCGTGTAGTTGACCGTTTTCCTCTCATGTGATGAATGTTTTATGTACAATTTTTCCCCACTAAATTTCAGGAAAAATCCCTATGGCTTTGTGATTCTTTGTCTTTAATAGATAAGGAGACTGAGGCTTGGAGAAGTTGAGGAACTTGCCCTAGTTCCCAAGCCGAGTGAGAGACCCCGTGGACCCGAGGGTTGTGTGTGAAGGCTCTCAGCCCTGTCCTCACTGCAGGCGAATCCGGCATGGCCTTGTGAGCTTTGCTGCCACGGTGCTGGTGTTTGCATCCGTGAGCGCTTGCCTGTGGGGATGTCGTGTGCCTGAGCAGCTTCCTCTCCTGCACGACTGCATCGAGCTGAATGGTGCAGCGTGCTGTCCTGCGTGTGGCGTGGGCCTTCCGTATGTGCGCCTGCTTGCTTCTGCCCGTGCTCACTTCCATTCATTCCTCTCTTCCGTCCTCTGCCCTGGATAATGGCTTTGCTGTCATTCGCTTCTTTCCGTGCAGCCCTGGCAGCCGCCCCTCTGGCCTGACTTGCCGCTGCCCTACCTGTCAGCTTTCCTTCCTTCCCCGACGCGCTGCCAGCTTCCTCCATTGCAGCACAGACCTTGGGGACGCTCAATAACTGGCTTAGCATGTTCTGGTTGGGCTTAGTTGCTTTGAGCTTTCGTCTCTTTATTCCTGGTGCCATAGGTAACGGCAGCTTCCCATAGAAAGTAGGCACTCATGCTTGATCAAGTGAGTAAGCTGCTGAACAGCAGTTTCCAAGCTTCCAGTTAGAACCCAGGGCCGCAGTGTGAACTCCCATCACCGCTGCTGCTGACACCGGTAGTAAAATGCCTTCAGAGCAAGTGGGCTTTCCACGAACTGCTTCACCATCCCAGAGACTGTCGGTGGGGTCACCCTGAGTTTGGAGTGATGAGCACAGCTCTGCTGGCGTTTGCCTCAGAAGTAGCAGCCCTAGAGGGCACTAACTAAAGTGCTACTCATGACTAAACTGAAAACTGTTCTAGTGAGGTAAAAGATTGAAAGGACGGAGTTTTTTTTTTAATATTTCATAGTGTAAGAATAAAATGGGCTTGTTTAGGGATATCAGATTCCAGAGTGTAAGAATTTTATCAGGAGAGAGATACTTAAAGCTTGAAAGAATACATTGCATATTGAAGGTTACATTTCCTAGGTACCTACATTTTACACTTTGGTTAATTTTTTTAATAGGAAAATAACCTTAGAAAACATAATTTAATTATTCTAGGCTGTACTTATTGGGTCCTTACCATGTGCTGAACTGAATACCTTTAAAAGGCCAAGGCTATTTCCTGTATTTATTCGTTCATTCGTGGGATTGGATAGTGCTGTGTTGCCCAGACTGGTGTCAAACTACTGGGCTCAGGCATTCCTCCTGCCTCAGCCCTCCTGAGAACTGAGGTGTGATGTGCACACTGCTGCACCTGGCTCATTGGATTTATTAAGCCCATGAGGTGGACACTTTTATTTCCCATTATTTCCCATCGGGTGAGGAAAAGGAGGCTTAGAGGTTGACAGACCTGTAGCATTGTAAGATTGAAAGTTACAGCTTAGTCACTTGGAAAAGCCTTAGAGGAAATTGGACTTGTTTTGAAAACAAGTACGTTACTAATAGTGAATATTGATTAGTGGTCTGCAGGTGGTTATTAGCATTGTCAGAAATGCAGCTTGAATTAATTATGGCCTGATAGATGCTAATAATTGTTAGCAAGAATGTCCTGCTGGTAATTATTTTTAATGACTGCTATACCATTAAAAAAGGTTAACTTGTTCTATATAAATCTCCCATAGTGACACAGTCACTACCTCATTAACTTAGCTCAAAGAGCACTGTAAACCAAATACGTTGTGTACTGTGCATGATGGAAACCAATTGCTTCCTGGGACTGGCTTGTTCAGTCGCAGGCTTGGCCTGCGCTTGGTTACCAGGGGTCCGGGAATAGGCCGCTAAGCAGTTTCTGCCAATTAAAATGCTGAAGCTGTGTGGAAAACTGCCATCTTGCACTTGGCTGGCACCAAGTTAATTAGGAAGTTTCCACAGATGAGCGCTGCTTCTTAACAGAACGCATTTTCTCTCTTGATGAGAAAGGGAGTTGGTGAATAACTGAGCTTGAAGACCTTTCACATTTTAAGAGACCTAATTTACAGAATAAGTGAAGCTTGTTTCAGACATTTAGTCTTTTTATCGCAGTGGTGTCTTGGGTACAAATAAAGGAAACATTCTCTGGTTGTGTTTAACAGCTTGCTTATTGTTAGCCTGGTATACCTTTTCAAAAGATACTTTTATGCTTTTTTGTTTTGTTGCAGTTTTGCTTTATATCAAATAAATTGTGATTGAAAAAGCAAGATATGCTTACAAATCAAAACAGTTTATTACCTTCCTTGTTTGTTTTCCAGTGCCTTGGAAGCCAGGAAATTTGGATAGTTTCTGAGCTTAAATTTCAATGTCTTATGTTCTAAAAACAAGTAACTAACATAAGTAATTTAAAGCATAAAAAATTCTAAACAGCTTCACACTTCTCATAGATCAAAAGGATGTTTTCCTTTATGAAGATTTACAAGTTGTTAGAAGAATTGACTGTCACATCTGTAGTGCCAGAGAGCTGAGATTATATTTTAAAATATTAAAAGTGAATAATTGAGAATAAGAAAACATCTTTTTGATAAGTGTATGAGGGAGTAGGAGAGCTATTTTGCTAATGAAACAATTGTCACAATAGTTGTAATCTATAGAAAAGCATCTGGATGTATTCTGATTTATTTCCTTACTCCTCAGGACTGGCAGGAATAAGTTATAATTCATCTTAAATAGGAAATAAATGTCTTGTGATAGTTTTGTATAGTTACAAGTTCATTTTGTTGTGCTTTTGTCTCTACTTCTAACTAGGTCAAGTTTGGAAAACCGACTAGATTTAGTATTCCTTCTTAACTTTCATATTTATACTTAATTTTTCTTATAGATATTCCTTTCTGTGAAACCACCTTAATGAGGTAAATACATGAGCGATTAAATAAAACATATGGCCAAGAATTCTCTGAAAATGTGATGATTTCATGGAGAAAACAGTGGTTTAGGTTCCACCGCCTGCCTTGTAAGCGCAAGCAAAGTCCCAAGTTCGATCCCTGGTACCTGAAAAAAAAAAATAAAGTTAGAAGACTTCTGGGTTAGGTTTTTTGTTGTTGTTGTTGTTTTTTTAATTCCTCAGTGCCGGGGATATAACCTGGGGCGTCACGCATACTCATCAGGGGCTCTGCCACTGAGCTATGTCCCCAGTCCTGGCCCAGTTTTGACTTTGCTATTCACCTTTTTGTACTGTGGTAAAATATAGGTATTATACAATAAGCTATTTGCACGTTTTTTTCCATTTTATTTCTGTGTTAAAATATATATCTTTTTGGGCAGGGGATTTAGCTCAGTGGTGTCACCGCCCACCTTGCAAGTGCAAGGTCCCCAGTTCAATTCCTAATACTAAAATATCTATATTTCTGTATATCTATAGATACAGATATCTTTTTCCCTCTTTTCCCTTTCAACTTATTTGTGTCTTTAATATGAAGTAAGTCTCTTGCATACAGCATACGGTTGAATCATATTTGTTTTTTTAATCCATTCTGTCATTTGACATTTGATCGGAGAGTTTAATTCATTAAAGAAATTAAGGAAAGATTTTTTTGTCATTTTGCTATTGTTTTCCATATATCTTAGAGCTTGTTTTTGTCCCTCATTTCTTGCATTACTGTCTTCTATTGTGTTTAGTTGATTTTTGTTGGTGAGACATGTTTAAATTCCTTTCGTATGTGTACATTCTGTGCTTTACTTTGTGGCTGTCATGGCCATTACCTTTAGTCTCCTAAAGCTATGACACACATTTATTTATGCTGTGGTCTGGCTCCAGTGACGCTCGTGAATTCTGCTCCTTCGTAGCTCCGTCCCAGCCCTTCCAGGTGTTGATGTGACAGAATTACATCCTTATATATTTTGTGCCTCTAAATATAACCTAGTAATTTTTTAAAAATGCATTAGTCTCTTAAATGAAGTAGAAAACACAGTGAAGAGTTACAGCAAAGCAAAGTTAAAATAGTACTTGGGCCCAGCGTTGAGCTCAGTTGTTCCACCACCTGCCTTGCAAGCCCAAGGACCCAAGTTTGATCCCTGGTACCCCCCACCCACCCACAGTACTAAAATAATACTAGCTTAGCTTGCAGGCTGATCTTTTATCTACTTTTGAATGTATGGATATGGTGGGGTCTCACTCTGTTGCCCCAGCACACGTTGAACTCCTGGGCACAAGTAATCCTGGCTCAGCTTCCTGAGTTGCTGGCACAGTAGCTGCTTACTGCCGTGCCAGCCAAGATGAATATTAAAAATATATATTAATGTTTTTAAATCACGTGGAAGGTAAAATAGTTGCAGATTATTACGATAGGCTTTCATAATTGCCCATGTATGTGCCTTTACTGAGACTTTTCCTCATGTGGTCTTGAGTCCTTTCTCTGTCAAGGACTCTGTTGGGTGTTTCTCACATGCAGTCCAGTGTGAGCTCTGATCAGCTGGGAGTATCTTAATTTCTCCAGCGCTTGTAAAGGACAGTTTGCCATATATAAAATTCTTGTTAGGTAGGGTGTTTTTTGTTTTTCTTGTAGGACTTTGAATATATCAGCCCACTGCCTTCTGACCTCCAGAGCTTCTCATAAGACCTTTTACCAATAACCCTTTTGAAGATTCCCTCATATGTGCTGAGTTGCTTTTTTTGGGAATTTAAAGAGTCCCTCTTTGGCTTCAAGAATTGCATCATACGTGTTTTGGTGTAGAGCTCTGCATTCATCTTATTGAGGTTTGTTTAGCTTGGCTGATGTTTCTATTCTGTTGTTCGTTAAACTTGGCAGGTCTTCATCCATTACTTCTAATACCCTTGCTGTCCCTTTCACGGCCCCTTCTCATGGGACCGGCAGTGTATATATGTTGGTCCACTTGATAATCAGGCAGTGCATTTTCTTCTCAACTCTTAATGAGCAGAGTTTTACAAATATGCAAATATATATCTATACTATGTAAAGCTAAATATGTATAAAATATTCCTGCTTGGCTCTGTTTGCATTGTGGGCATTAAACCCAGTGCCTGTGCATGCTAAGCCGATGCTCTGGCCACTTGCCCAGCTTGATAACATTGTTTCAGTATGGTCTTATATTTCAAAATGTAATAAGTTCAAAATTTTACGTGTGCTTCTGTATCAATATTTTACTAGCTTATTAAATTATGTTGTTTAAGTTGCTAATCCTCTCCAATGTATAATACATCAAATTTATGGTACCTACTATAAAGCGTATTGAGTTAGAAATTTAATTTCTGTCACAGTGTCTTAATGGTAAAGTCCAGAAATGAATGACAGAGTGCAATGTAACCCTAGTAAAAGAATCAGAATAGCAAGATTTATTCAACCTGATTTTTGCAAATGTAAGTTTTAATTTACTGACTGAACCTGGTTGAGTTTTCTTGGACATTGATTCAAGGAATAAACCAATACTTTTATTGGATAATTCTGGTGAGTAGTTCAAGTTTATATTTGGTCAAAATAACTCGAATTAGTAAATATTTATAACAGGATTATCAAACTGCTTACGTATCCAGTGTCCTTAGGGTTTTGTGTGCAGGTTAGCTCTGTCCACATGTTTACATCGTGAGTCTCCACAGTCATGTGTGTTCTCTCAGAGTATCTTGGAGTATGAATTACTGGCTTTCCCAAGTAATTCAGTATGTTTTTCTTTAATTCTTTATTGGTTCTTTATTTAATTCTTTATAGGTTGTTGCTTTGGGATAAATTGCTTCTAGATTGGATTCTTGCCAAACTAAGGAAAATGCCTGCATTTATAAAAGACAGAGTTACATATTTCTGTGTGAGGCACATTAGAATTTAGAGTGAAGTTGTTACCAACTCCCACTAAATGTTATTGGAGCCAAAAAGCTGTGTTACTTTGACCTGCCATTGTTGGCTAGTTGGATAGTAACTTTACTGGCTCTAGAACCCCATGTCCAAAATGTGGCCACCTACGTGATTTGTAATTCATTCTGAATTTTTATTTCTGGAATATAATTTCTTATATACAGTGTCAACATTAGACAAGGGAATCTCTCTCCTATCATTTGTTTCACTAATGGTAACGGTGTTTTTCTGGTGTGGGTTCCTTGGAAATTGAGTTCCTGCTCCTTTCTTGCCTCAAAAGTTTTGTGAGTATTTGAGTCACAGAATCCATTTCTTCCCATAGTAGTAGCTAGATCTTCATCCTTTTGATATGGGTTGTACATTTATACCTTCTTTTGCCTCCTTAGCTCCTGCATTGATCCGACAGCCACTGTCTGTTCAGAGGCAGATAAATTACGGAGCTTCCTCTGGTGATAAATAGCCACCTGTTGGGTCAATTCTGTGAGCTGCTTTAGTCAGTTTGCTATACTGTGTTAGTGCCATTGAGTAATGGATAAACATTGCTTTATTGATTGGTGAGTCATTTAGCATCATCTCCTTGCTAATCTACTTTTTGTTTTTGAAAATTTTAAATTACCCTGATGGAAAGAATGAATTTTCCTTTGTTCGCTTGTCAAAGATATAATATAAAATCTTTGAGCAGGGCCAGCGATTTAGCTCATTGATTCTGCCACCTGCCTCACAAGTGCAAGTTCCCGAGTTCGATCCCGAGTACCCCCCCAAAAAAAATGGTTCAGCAGATTTATAGTCCTTTTAGATTTGATTAGGAAAAATAATGTAAAACTTTTTAAAAAGTATCATTGAGTGAAATTTCTGTAGATTATAAAACATTTTAAAAAAGCAATTATATTTCTATTTTAGTGTAGTTTATAAGGAAAATACCCAGCCTTCAACACACTGGCATTTATTTCTAGAATCTTGAGTGCATACAAATGGCCTGGATAAAGAAATCCATGTAGAATTCCCATTCCCTATAATACCTGTGTGTCTTGGGTTATATTGTAAAAAGATTGCTCTTTTATTCTCAGTAAATTTTATAGTGGGATTTTTAAGAAGTGGTAAATCGTACAAAAAATGAAACTGGAGAAAAGGGAGTTAGAAACAGGTGTGGAGAAAAGAAATCAAGGAAGAGGACTGAATTAACCTTGTAGCAATAAAGCTACATATAAGAAGACTGTTTTGTTGCTTTCTCATATGAATATACTTTTCAGTTTTTTAAACTTTGTATTAGAAAGTCTTAAATTATGATACATTAGATACTTCGTTTAATGCTCACAGGAGAGTTCTATGTTCTTCAGACGGTTATTGCTATAAAGGCTATAATAAGCTCTTGACTGTGGACAGTAGGAAATTTTATTTAGATATAATTGTCCTAAATAGTAAGGGTAAGTGATGCCCCCTTTTTTCTGTTTAACTTACTTTCTAAAGTTGTGGTCCTTTGAAGATACTGTGTGTAACTACTGAGTTTCTTAATTTTTTTTAAGTGTTTGAGTTGGTTATATTTCATGTTTTTGTTTTTAAGCACAATAGTGCTATTAAATTTTGTTTTAATTTTTAAACACTTAAGCATAGCCTGGGTAAGATAATCTGCTCCATGACTCACTTAGCCTGTGTTTGCTTCCTGCGAACTTGGTATTGCACTGTCGTTCTAATGTGACTCTTACTTGTTTTCCTGCAGCGTGGATCTGTGGCATCATCTCTATCACTGTCATCAGCCTGCTCTCCTTGCTGGGCGTGATTTTGGTTCCCATCATTAATCAAGGCTGCTTCAAATTCCTTCTCACATTCCTTGTCGCGCTGGCTGTAGGAACCATGAGTGGAGATGCCCTCCTTCACCTGCTGCCTCATGTAAGAGACCTTTGCAGTCTTTACGGAGTTCAAGGGACGAGCATTTGGTGGGTCGGTTAGCATCATCTCCTCGCTGATCAGCTTCTCCTTGTTTTTGAAAATTCTAAGCTATCCTGATGAAGAGATGAATTTTTCTTCAGTGACAAGCTGCAGCATTACTAATGTAGTAGTATTTGTATCGTTTTGTTTGCAAACAGGATGAAGTTTTTTTTTTCATTTCATAGTTTTAATAGCAATATTTCTTAATACATTGAACCATTAGGTTTTTCAGGGCAGTGTGACACACGAAGAAAGCCTTGAGAAGAAATGTGGAGGGGGTGCTGTAATGACCGTGCGATAGCTAGGAAATCACAGCAGTGTGCGAGTTGGTGGACTTTGCTTATTTCCACTAAGTATTTGGTATTTAAGTGGTCGAGTCTGTTTCGTGTCAAAGCCCCTCCCCATTGTTCCTTCTGACTGGAATCTTTCTTACAGTATCTCCCCCAGAGGCATTCGAGTTTGTAATCTTTGTTTGACCCAGCAATGCAGTAGGCTTTGCAAGTGACTGAGTAAATTAAATGGAACACTCCTCTCTTTAAATGGCAGTGTGTAGAAGAGCAGTTTGAATGTTTAAAATTGTTCCCCTGGGGCTTCACTCCTGTGTGGGGTCTAGGACTGTTGGTTCCCATACTAGTTGACGGTTTCCCAGAGGCTGAGGGAGTAGTGGAGTCAAGGACAGGGAGTGGTAGATCTGTGTGGTCGGTCTTGGCTTAGACTTGCTTAGGGGAAATAGATTCCAGGGTGTGTTGCACAGCGGGTGGCCGTAGATAAGGGCCATTACTATTTAGTTTTTAAGAAGCTACAAGAAGGGATTTCACATGTTTCCACCACGAAGAAATGATAAATGTGTGAGGAGGGAGAGATGCTGGCCTAGATTGGAACATTGTATAAGGTGCACATAATTGAAATATTACACCACAGCTCATACACATGTACAATTTTATGTCAGTTTAAAAAGAGAAAAATAAAATGTCAAAACAAGATGAAAAACTAAGTTATTTTTCTGTGTTTTCTAGAAGATTATAATCTCAATTTGAAATAGTGTTTCAGTTGCTCATTTAGAAGCATTCTTTTCGTTGTGATAGTCACAGGGTGGACACGAGCATGGCCATCACCACGCGCATGGCCATGGGCACGGACATTCTCACGCACACGAGGCAGAGGGCTTTTTAGGGGAGTACGACGCGGTGCTGAAGGGCCTCGTCGCTCTAGGAGGCATTTACGTACTGTTCATCATCGAGCACTGCATCAGAATGTTTAAGCACTACAAGCAACAAAGGGTAAGCATTTTCTCATTATTTAATTTTCTGAGATGCAGTGATTAGAGTTTGTGAGGATAGATTATGATCAGCATCTGATTACAAAATAAGAGAGCTTGTCTGTATTTTGCAAAGCTCTTCTGAGTCAGTTTCTGTACGATTTCATAGATCCCTTGATTTTATCATCATAGTAATCTTATTTCATTTGCAGTTGAGTATTAGGTTCAGCAAAGCTACAAACTTGCCCAAGTCTTAGAAGTAAGCCATGTGTAGGATTCTAACTCGTTTGATTCTACTATGTCATATGCGTGGAGATTGCAATGACAGTAAATAGAGAATAAAATTCAAAGGAATAAGCTTTAGGTTTTGAAGCTTTGTGTCCTTACACTTTTAAATAAGAAGTATTACATCTGTCTCACACGTTTCACTTTGGTTGCTTTTTACTGCACACAGTACTAACTTTGAAGTAGATGAGAATCTCTCAGTTCAGTATTTTAAAAAGTATACGCATTTAGGTCGAGTGTTCATCTGGTTAGATCCTGTGGTTGACTTCTAAAACTTTTTTCTCACCCATTTTGCGAACAATTTTATGTAAAAAGTTAATTTGCCTCCAAGAAGTGTGAACAAGGGAATGTTAATTATAATTTGTTGTGGCTAAAGATTTTATAATGATGTCTGATTTTTTTTTTTTTCAGGGAAAACAGAAGTGGTTCATCAAGCAGAGCACAGAAGAGTCAACTATTGGAAGAAAGCTTTCAGATCACAAGTTAAACAACACACCAGACGCTGACTGGCTCCAACTCAAGCCTCTTGCTGGTACTCAACAGTTCTGCCTAGAGAGGACCTTCTAAGACATAGAAATTGAAATGTTGCTTTTAAACTGGGCTGTTTGAGATTTCTTGCCTTTGTGATTTCCCTGATAGTAGTTTCTAACATGTTTTTCCTTGAATGTGTGTCTTCATTATGATTTTGTTGATTTTAATAAATTTCAGCCTTATTTATGCTGGACTATGGGGAAAGAAACATTTTGTAGTTCTAGTTTATAGGAAAAAAATAGAAGTAAAACAAAAAATGCCTTTCCAGTTAGTAAACTTAGTGTCTTTCTCACTGAAAGTGTACAAAGTCTTGGTCCTTCCATACGTATTGGTTTCCTAAGGAAACTTACCTTTGCACCTAAAAGAGAATATCCTGGCCTTGGATATAAACTCTGCATAAGCATCCATGCATTCTGGTGCCCGATAAACATAATGAGGAACTTAGGGTTTTCAGGGACACAGAAGTGTTTTTAATGTAACTTTTCTCACTTTCTGTTATAATGTGTTCCTCAAATGTAGCAGTGATTTTCTGCACAAAAGGGCCTATCTATAGAACTCAGCCTCAGAACACAGTTGGGAAGTATCAAGAGATCAAAAACAAATAACTGGAAAACTGGGCAAAAGGCTGCCCTTCATGTTTCAGAAACTGCTTATCACATGTCACCTCTTGCATGGGCTCTGAGCTTCATCCGAGCCATGACCTCTTTTTTTTTTTTTTT